AAAAAAAAAAAGGGTAGAAAGCAGAAAATGCAAAATAATACATCTTATTGTATGGAGATTATATCTTAATAAAGTTAACATGAGAAACAAAAAATAACACATTAGAAATAAATACATGTTTGTTATAATCACAATGGATGATTTACTAAATTTACTAGAGTATCTCAGAGGGGATTTTAAAAATGATACACCTACATACGCTTTGCAAGGATCCCACCAAAAACACAGTGACACAAAAAAGGTAAGCAAATTGATGAGAAATGACATAATAGGCAGACTTATATGTAGTTATTTCTAATGTCCCAGAATTCTTGAAATGTCAGAGATGCTGGGGACTTATGAGGTAGAGATTCTCAAACTTCGTTTCACATTAGAATCACCCAAGAAGCTTTAAAAGACCGCAATGCCAGGCCATGCCCCAGGCCACTGAAGTCTGTATTTTTCATGGGTTGGGACCCTGGCATCAGTCCTTTGTTAAAACTCCCCAGGTGATTCCAAAGTGCAGCTAAGTTTGAGGCCCAGTATTTTGGGTGCTTATTGAAAAAATCTTCCCATTTTATAGATGAGAAAACTGAGATCCCATCTGTACCTGCATTTGTGAATTGGTCTGGAATGGGTCCCTAGATGGTAAGATCCATGAGGCAGGGTGGAGAACAGTGTCTGGCACATAGAGACCACTCAATAATTGGTCACTCTGGGTGACTGACACTGTCCTTGTGGGTGCCTTCCCACCTGCCCCTGGGGAGTGGGCTGGGGGACCAGACAGGCTCTTCATTCTCTGAGTCCCCACCCTTTGCTCCCTGCACACTTCTCTTGGAGCTGCCCCTCCTCCCCTGCACCCTCTGCAGACCCATGTATGATGCCTTTGACAAGCTCTTCTTGGAGGAGCTGCAGCTGCCTGAACTGGATGTGGGTGACTGGCTTGTCTTCCCCTCCATGGGCACCCACAGCCACTCATGAGCTCCACCTGGAATGGCTTCCTGTCTGCCTCCATTTGCTACACATGGGACCCGGGCTGAGGGGTCTCGGGAGAGAAAGAATGCACTGGGCACTGAGGGGCTCTCAGAGGATCTGAGCTTGGCAAGAGCAGTTTGGGGCTGAACTCTGGGGTCCCAGGCCCGGGAAATTTCCTACTCTTTCCACTGGCCCCAGCAGAGCCCAAAGTGTCTGACTGAGTTCCAACACTGGTCCCTGCCTTTGGGGTTGACCGGTTACAGCCTCTCCCTAGGGAAGTCTGAGGCAGCCTACCTGGCTGGCTCAGACAACTGTGCCGTGTACACACCTCTGGGGGCAGAACCAGGCAGCCCTATGCCAGGGCCCCGGGCCAAGCCCCCACTCCTCTCTGACAGTGGCGGCTGCTCCTGGGTCCCCTCCACAGATCTCCTTTCCCTACCAGCGCCCGACTCCCTTGCAGCCTTGGCCTAGGGTCCCCTTTGCCCAGTCAAAGGGCTCATCCCCTATAGGGTTGCAGGGGGCTCTATGCCCCAACCTATGAGAAATCCTGACTCATAGTCTGGAGCATGGCTTGAGCGTCAGGGTCTTTTGAAGCAGCCCAGGTGATTCTAATGTGAAGCAGAGCTTGAGAATGTCCCCTTCGCTGGCACATCCTTTTTACGGGAGCCTGCTGGAGGCAGCACGTTAGGCTGGGACATGGCCAGAATGGAGGGGCTCCAGACACCTCCACACGTCTGTGCAGAAGTGTGGGGGCAGGGTGAGGGAGGGTAACATGGGGGAAGCACAGGTTTGGGTGCTTCTGAATTTACAGGCAATTTTTAGGTTCAATATTGTTTTTCTCCCGAAGTGGGCCTGAAGTCTAGGCTACCACCTCTGGGAAGCCAACGGCACCCTCCATGCTCCTTACCCCTGAGAGCTGGGCGGGGTGGGGCTGAAAGCCTGAAGCCTATGTCCTGCAATCGGAGGCAACCTGCGGCGACTGATACCCTGAAATTCTTTCCTCCTTCCTTCCATCCAAGGAGTGATGTCTGTGTTGTTCCCGAAAGGGTTTTGTAAACTGCAGGCACCCACTCTAGTGGAGAGACCACTGTCCTTGGAGAGCTCTCAGACAAGCCCGGAGTGAATCTAGGCTCCACCCCCACTGGCAGTGTGGCCAAAGCCTCAGTTTCCCCATCTGTGAAGTGAGGATGATATGAGTATCCACTTTCCCGGGTTACTGAGAGGACTCAGTCAGATAATGCAAATCGTCGATCCAGGTCAGTTCATGTCCAGGGCCCTGCCTCTGACTGGCTTGATCCTGGCTCCTGGCCCTGGCCCACTCAGGGACCCTTCTGCCCTACTGCCCCACAGCCTGGGCCTCCTCGGGGAGCACGTAGCATCTGGCCACACAGCTAATGGGCCAGGCATCACTCCCTGTGGTGCCTCAGATATGGCCTCAGCCTTGAGAAACCCCCAAGTTAGAAATTGGATGAACATGATGTGGGTACAGCCAGCTCCAAAATAGGGCAGATGCAACTGTGTGTCCCCCAGGCACGCTGAAACTTTAAAAGACACTATCTGGGGAGTTCTGAGCTCAGAAGGAAAATGTTTCCTATAGGGAAAGAGGTTCACAGAGGTGACGAGAGGGGTATGTCAGGCTGAACAGCCACATTCCTACCGTGAATGAGGGGGAGTGGGCCTCAGAAGCCAAAGCCACCCACCTCCTGTGTCCTTGTCCTTTTTAAGCTTCTCCTGATGAGAACTTCCCTGATCCCCAGCCCCTGAAACAATCCCCTGTCCACCAGAGAGAGCCCCTCCGATCTTCTTGCCTCCTCTCTAGCTCAGCCAAGGCCAGAGGAATCTTGCATCATCCTTGGGCTGAAAAGCATTCTTCCCAGACATCTGAGAAGGGCTGGTCACCCAAGGAAGCCAGAGGGCTCAGACCGCTTTTAGATAAGCAGTTACTTATTCATCTCTTCCCAGAGCCTAAAAATTCAGAGTAAAATGTCCATGCCTACATCCTCAGAAGTGTCTGGAAGATCAAAAATGAGTGGGTTTTAGGGGAAACATCAACTTTCATTCATATGCAAGAGATGTTCCTATGTTTTGTGTTTTGCTGTCCTGTGATTGTCTATATCCATCCATTCATCAATCCACCCACAGTCTCTCAGTCCATTGATCCATCCATCTGTCTGTCCATCCATCTATCCGTTCACTCAATAAAAATGTGCGGGCCCAGTCTGTGCCTGGCAGTGTTCTAGGCATAGGTGACATATATGAAAAGAGGGAGCCCATGCTCGCAGAACTTACCTTTCAGTTGGGGAAAGACAGCATAAATAAATGCATAAATAAATGTTAAAATGAAGGGGGATCAATAAGTGCTGTAAAGAAAAAAAAGGGCAAGGGGATGGTGAAGATAGAGGAGGTGTCATCTTAGGTAGGCGGACCAGAAAAAGCCCCTCTGAGCGGGTGGTGTGTGAGCAGAGGCTGAAAGTGAGGGAGGGAGCCGAGCCGTTCACTGAGTCAGAGAGTTCCAGGCAGTGGAAACAGCAAGTCCAAAGGCCAGGGGATGGAGACAGTGCAAAATAGGCAAAGGGACCCATGTGTGTAAGTAGCATGGGCGAAGGGAGGTATTAGGAGCTGAGGCAGGAGAAGAGTCCGGGGGCTGATCTTTGACTTTGTTCTGAGCAGGAGGGAAGGCCTGGGAGTGCGTGAGCAAGTGGAGGCAGTGAGAGAAGGCAGAGAATTTGAGGTGGCTCCTGCCAGTTTGGGGAAATGATGGTGGTTGTGGTGTAGGTGTTGAGACAAGGCCGTTTCAGGACAGGTTGTAAACGTTGAGGCAAAATAATTTGCTGACAGGCTGTATGTGGGTATGAGGCAAAGAGAGGGGTCAAGAGCAGCTCCAAGGTTTTGGCTGGAGTTGCTGGCACACAAATGAGGACACTCCAGAAGGGAAGTGAGTTAGGAGGGGTTGAAATCTCAAGTGCAGTTTTGAACAAGTCAGGTCTGAGAGGCCTATTCAGCCTCCAAAGAGTCAGCCACAAGCTTCTGGTTTCTGGGGCAGGAGTCAGGACAGGAGAAGGGGACATGGGCGTCATCAGCCCTGGGTGGACTTTACATCCTTGGGTCCAGCCAGACCGGCCAGGAAGTGAGTCTAGAGAGAGAGGACACAAGTCACATCAGCGAAGAGACAAGAGGTTTCAAAAGGGAACACGCAACTGTGTTTATTACGCGGGAGAGGTGAGTGAGGTGAGGGCTGAGAGCAGAAGGGGGAAAGCGATCTGAACCAGAGAGCTTCAGTGCACAGGTGGGTAGTGGGAGTGCCATCCGGAGAGGATGGGCAGAGAGGGTGGACATGAGCCCCCAGGGAGCTGACCTGAGGGAGCAGGAAGCGGGAGGGGGGCTGGGAGAAGGGCATTTAGGCGCAAGAAGGGTTTATGTGAAGATGCAAGATGTTATGGTTTTGTAGGCTCATCGGGATGACTGAGAGAAAGGAAGATAATTTAGATGCAAAACAGAGAGAGGGCAATTGTAAGAGCAAACTCCTTGGAGGGGAGGGAGGGGTTAGTGTCCGTACCCTAGATGGGAGCTCGGACCTGAATGGGGAAGGCAGGGTTGCCACAGGCTGGTGGACCGAGAATGTGGAGTTCTCTTCCGAATGTTTCCCTTTTCTCAGTAAAATAAGAAACAAGGTTCTGGCAGGACGGTGCTCTTGGTGTTTTGAGGGGAGGGGCACGGGTGGGAAAGTTAGACTGAGAGAGGGAGGATGAATGGACCAGTGGGACTGGTCGGATTGCCAGGCACAGGCGCCCACTTGAGGTTTGGGGGGGTCAGCTTAGAGTGAGGCTGCTCATCTGGTGTGTTTTGTCTTCAGACATGCTCAGTTGCATTGGTGCCCTGCAGACCGGGTGGGGTGGAGATGGCTCCGGGGTATGAGGTGTTCTTGGGGGTCTCTGCAGGTCCAGGCTCCCCCTACGGCCCTGCAGTCCTCAAAGCCTTTTCCTGACTCTGCATCCTGTTCTCCCACAGCCTTTATTTGCTGAGACTCATAATGATCCTGTGAGTTCATAACGACCCCATTTTACAGACGCCAACGACCCTGGGTCATCTAGCTAGTAAGTGGCAGAGCTGGAGTTTGAATTCAAATGTCAGTTCAGGGCGCTGTGTTTAAGAAAGTCTTGCATTCCGGACAATGAAAATAAACAAGCTTGGCTGTTGGGGGGTTAAACATAAGGGGTTCTGTGCGTTGAGTGCCTCAGGTTTCCTCACCTCCCACCATAGCAACTTGCTGCCACCCACTGGCCACCATCAGCATTGCACCCAAATCGAACCCGCTCGGGATTTGTCCTTAAGGATTCATGGGTCCAGCAGCGCCTTGTTGAAAAGGGTTAGGTAGGAGTGCTCTTCCCCTTTTAACAAATGAGGAAATGGAAGTCAAGAGAGGTGACTTAAAAAAGCCATCTGCACTTGCCTACTTTACCCATGTTTATTCATTCAATGACTATTCATAGATTGTGAAGGTGTGTAAAGGAATTAAGAGAGTAACTGCAGAGGGTGGTTAAGAGATGACATTGGTGGAGAGACCTGATGGCTGGGAGGTTCATTAAGAGGGAACAGCACGTCAAAGGCCCCGAGGCTCTCCACGCGTCCACTCAGGTTCTCTGGGCCCCCACCTTACTCACACAGCTGACCGCTCTCTCCTTGAAGCTTGCAAGACATCTCCCTTGGCTTGCAAGACATCAACCTCTGGTGGTAGGAAAACCTATGATTATTTCCCTGTGAATATAAAAGCTTATCAATCAATACAGAGCTGTTACTGGTTTGAAGGAACCCACTGCCACGTTGAAAGTAAGAGCAGGCAATACTGGCACACGGAGTTAAAGGTCAAGGTTGACATTTCTGGAACCTGGGACAGGAGCATGTAGAGGAGAATTGGTTGCGATGTTATCAGTCTGCTTATAGTTGTTACCATGCTATATGTGTGTGTGGCCCTGTCTGCTGCTAATAGTAAGCCATCTTTGCAAATCCAATGAATACTTGTAAGTTTGCATACATAGCATGAGTATACTTTATTCAAATCCTATGAGTAGTGTTCTAAGAAATAATAAGTTTTGGAAGCAACATAAATCCCTAAATTGGCAATTCTGACATGTTACTTGAACACTACCCTATTATGTTAGCTGGCATGTTATATTGGCTTTTGATAATAAACCATGCATTTATTATGATGATTTTTTTTAACAGAAAACCCCTGAAGTGTTTACTATAACCCTCTTACCAAAATGTTCAGTTTGTTGTTATATAATCTTTTTTTTTTCAAAACACATAAAGCATTAGGAAAAATACAGAATAATGTATGATTTCAGGAATTCCTGAGAATTTCCTGAAATTCTGATATCTCATACCCAAACTCCAAAGGTTAATATTTGTTGGGAATTTGGAAACACTCTTTGAACTTTTCGTATCTCTTGGCTCTGCGTCCCATCCCATCCCCAAGGCCACTGGTCTAACTGCCAGCTCTTCGTCATCTCTTCTAACCTCGTGAGTCAACCTCCAGTCTCCAGGCTCCTCTAACTTCCCAGCGGGGCCTTCCTAAAGTGAAATCCTTCCCTGTATTAAGGGATTTTTCCCCTTGGCATAGAATCTTAGATTAGCAGGGTGTTTTTTGTTTTTTTTTCATTTCTGAACTTTAGAGATAGCGTTACATTGTCTTCTGGATTCATAGTTTCTGTTGAAATGTGGGTATAAGTCCTATTGTTGTTACTTTAAAGATAATGTGTCTTCTTTTATCTAGCAGTTTTTAAGATTTTCTCTTTGCCTCAGTTTTCAGTTGTTGACAAGGAAACGTCTAAGTGTGTGTTTGTTTTTGTCCTGCTTGGTTTCACTAAGCTTCTTGAGTTTGTGTGTTGATATCATTCAACAGTTTTGGAAAATTATAAGCCTTATCACTTCAAATATTGCTTCTGACCCAATTCGCTTTCCTTCCCTTCTGGGATTCCAATTGCACATATGTTAGACTTTCTATGTCCCACATATCTCTTGTACTCTCTGTTCCTGCCATTTCCCCCACCCACTGCCATGTTTCAGCTTGGATATTTTTCTATTGAACTGACTTCACGTTTGCTAATCCTGTCTTTTGTCCCGCTATACCGTCTTCTGTTAAACATACCCAGTAAGTTCTTAATTTCAGGTGTTGTATTTCCTAGTTCTATAATATTTGGTTATTTAAAAATATATATTCTGCTTCTTTATTGGCAATCTCTATTTAAAAATTTTTAATCCACATTGTCAATCTTTTCTCCTGTGTTCTTTAACATATTAGCAGAGATATTTTGGAGTTCTTCTTTGCCAACTCCAATATTTGAATCATTGTGGTTCTGACACTATTGTCAATTTTTTCTCTTGATTTCCAGTCATGTATTCCTGCCTCTTTGTGTGTTTAGTAATCTCAAATACATAATATGGTTCAAAGTGTAATTGTCCTGATATAATGAGTATGTAGTGGCACCTAGTGTTGGTCTTAATTTCCATTTCTCTGATTATTAGTGAAGATTGAGCCCTTTATCACATGTTAATTGGTCATTTGGTTTGCAGCCTTTGTGAACTGTCTATTCGAGTATTTTAAGCATCGTTTGTCTTGGTTTTCTTTTTCTTATTGATTTGTAGGTATATGTAAATTGACATATGATCCTGATGGCTTGATTCATTTATCTTTATATAGTGGTCCTCTCTATTACTCACAGTACTTCTTGCCTTAAAGTCCACTTTGTGTGATACATACACACACATATACACACACACATGTATTTAGTTAGTAGGCCTGACCCAGAGGAGACTTCCACGTCCCTTAACTAATCTGGAAATTATCCTCTCTGCTTTTGTTTAACTGGCTATCATAGAGATTATAATCTGCACACTTCACTTGTTCAAGTTAATTTGCACATTTACTCCAAGACAGTGTAAAGGCCTCACACTAATTCTTTTATCTTTTTTCTTTTTTCATGTATCATTAATGTACAATTACATGAGCAACATTATAGTTACTAGACTCCCCCCATTATCAAGTCCCCACCACATAGCCCATTACAGTCACTGTCCATCAGCATAGTAAGATGCTTTAGAGTCACTACTTGTCTTCTCTGTGCTATACTGCCTTCCCCATGCCACCCCCACATTATGTATGCCTCACACTAATTTAATGCCAATTACCCTACTTTATTATTTTTATCATTTATTTTAATTCTATATTGTTTTCTGTTTTAAATATCACAAGACATTATCATTGTCTTATATAGTCATGGTTCATTTAGATTTGCCAACATATTTGCCATTTCATTGGTCTTCATTCCTTATAGCATTTTTGATCTTCCATCCGGGCTCCTTTTCTTTCTACCTAAAATCTGCTGGTGGCATGCCCTTTCAGTTTTTGTTTGTCTGAAAGTGTCTTCCTTTCACCTTTATTCTTAAAGGGTTTTTCACTGGGTATAGAATTCTATATTTTCTTCTAGCATATTGAAGATAATCCTTCTCCTGTCTTCAGTCTTCCACTGCTGCTCTTGAGAAGTCAGCTCAGTCTACTTTAGTCCTTTGAAGATAATATTTTTTTCCTGGCAACTTTTAAGGTTTCAGATTTGTCTTTGCTATTCTGCTGTTTCACCATACCATATCCAGGTGTCATTTAAAATTTTTTCTCATTTTTTAGAGAAATTTTAGGTTTGTAGCAAACTTAAATGAAGAGTTCGGAGAGTTCCTACATGTCCCTTCCTTTACCACACACAGCCTCTCCACCATCAACATCCCCCCTGGGTATAGTGCATTTGTTACAATCAAGGTACCAGTATGGACACATCAGTATCAACCAAAGTCTATAGTTTACACTGAGTTTCACTCTTGTATTATTCATTCTATGTGTTTTGACAAATGTATAATGACATGTATATATTATGGTATCTTTCAAAATAATTTCACTGGCATAAACATTCCCTGTGTTCCGTCTATTCATATCCCTCCCTCCTCCAAACCCCTGGTGACCAATGATTTTTTTTACTGTCTCCATGGTTTTTGCCTTTGCAGAATGTCATATGCTTGGAATCATACAGTATATAGCCTTTTCTGGGTGTAAATTTTTAAAAGTTTATATCCTGCTTGGGATCTGTTAGGCTTTTTGAATTTGTAGATTAATGTATTTCATCATTTCTGGGAAATGTTCAGCCACTAACCCTTCACATATCACCTTTGCCTCATTCTCTCTTCACTTTTTCTGGGGTTCCAATTAAATACGTGTTAGATGTTTCTCACCTACTCTCCATGCCTTTTACCCTCTCTTGTGTATTGTTTTTCAGTCTTTTTGTTTAAGAAGATTTATTAATTCTGGATTGTTTCTTCTGACTTTTCATTCAGCTCACCAATCCACTCTTCAGCCATGTCCAATGTGCTTTAAACTTGCCATTGACTTCTCAATGTTAGTTACTGTTATTACTCATTTATAGAAATTCAAGTTGGCGTTTTTAACTGTACTGTCAGTTTTGTTTTTGTTTTTTTTTTGGTGTTGGGCCAGTTACTGTCAGTTTTTATGGTTTTCCTGTTCCATGAAAATATTTTCGAGTGAGTCTTTTGTTTATTTAAATGTACTTACTACATATTCCATGCGAAATAATTCCACTGTCTGAATTTTTTATGGGTATTTTTGTAGCCTCTTGTGTTTTCCGATTCTTTCCATGGGGTCTTATTTCTTTGGGTGCCTGATTATGTTTTACCAGGTGCTTGCCATTTATACTTGAAAATTTATTTGTGTGACTAACTTGGAGACTAGGCTGAAGGTAGCTCCCTCCAAAGATTTCCATTGTTTTTCCAGGATCCTGGAGGCACAATGAGTCTGTGGTCACCTCAATCAAAGCCCAAGGCTTGAAGTGACCAGGAAATAGTTAAAAACCAGTAGACAAAAACTAGGGCTGCAAGACCATACAGGGGCTGGTTTACTTGTGGGCTTCTGAGTGTATGGCTCTTTAGGATCCCAGCTTATTGTGGGGAGGGTTTTCTATATGGTCCTTCACCTTGTGCTCTAGACTTTTATCTGTGCTCCTTGCCCAGGAGAGGCAGCAAAACAACAGTTCAAATGGACCAGAATCAGGAAATGACCTCAGAGTAAAAGTGACTTTCCTGCTTGGTTAATCTAAGTTTCTGTTTTCCCTTCAGTTTCGTAAATCCTGGTAACTCCTCATCCTCTGGTTATACCAACATACCAGTATTTTTAGTATCTTCAGTGGGAGAATTGATATGAACGATTTAGCCTGACATTACCAGAAAAGAAAAGTCTGCCAGATCCCAGACCACATTTTACAGAGATGGAAGCTGTGGATCAGACAGGTGAGGCCAATTTCCCAGGGCATTACACACAGTAATAGAGCTGGGCTGCAAACGGCACTGTTTTACGCCAAGTCGAATGCAGGACCCTCTTTGAGATTTGGTTTCTCCGTATGTAATGAGGAAGTCAGACCAGATGGTCTCTGGGGGCCCAGTGGACTCAGACATTCTCAGACCAGGATTTCACGGGTTTCAATCCTTCGAGACCCACTCAGCCTCCTCCCCACAGTTGCCAGATTGTTTCTGCTGAGGCCTAACACCTGAGACTGGGCACAGAGAATTCCCAGATCAGCCACAAGGGGGCAGTGGTGTGCATGTTCTGAGACGACGGCAGAGCCGAGGGCTTCCTGGAGGTCTTTTCATCTCAACTGCCAGAGGAAGGGGAAAATGATTTCAACTGCGATTCAAAGCCCTCTGTCCCTTCTCCTTCATTTCACTTAGCAATCTCTGGCTAACGCACAGAAATCAGTCATACTCTGCCCCTCCCTTGAAGACCTCATGGCTCACTACATCCTTCTCTCCAGGTTAGACTTCAGGCTGATTCCCATCTCTCCGTCGTGCTCCTGCTGTTCTTCCCCCACCGCTGCCGTTACGTTTCCCCTCATTCTTCAGGTTCAGCTCAGATGCCAACTCCTCCCCAGTCCCTCCATTCGAAGCCCGTAGCCCGTATCCTCCTCGGTGCTCCCAGTCCTGGTTGTCGTCCGGCTGTGTGCTCGACTCATTCTCCCAACTGGAAGCTCCTCAGGCAGGGCAACGTCCCTCTCAACTCTGGGCGACACAGATCCTGGAGAAAGGGAAGGGGGATTCCTGGCAGAGCTGCGGGAGGCTGGAGCCCAGCACTGAGGGGGCTCCACCACCGCAGCCCCCTTCGCACCCCAAACCGCATAGTCTGGGGGCTTGCTTCGCACTCACCGCTGAGGAAATGACAGGAAAAACGAAGCCATACGAGTACCGGAAGAAAACAAAGGAAGGTTTCTGATTAGCTGTAGAGTTAGACCTTTCCATGGCTCAAAACAAGAAGCTGAAACGAGAAAGAAACATAAACGATTTCTAAGCTTTTGAAGAACTCCTCAGCCTTACTCGTAAGAAGATAATAACACATTTAAAATACATGTAGATTACCATTTTTCACTTATCAGATTGGCAGAGACCCAAAGGTTTGATAACATTTTTGGGTGACACTGTGGAAAAGCAGGCATTCTCCTCATTGCTGAGGGAGGGAAGGGCCTTGTAAACAACCCATTTAGACAGGACAAGGTGGCAATATTATATCTATAAAAATTACAAATACACTTGTATTAAAGAATTCTACAGGTGACCCTCATTGACTTTCACCTTTGTGTGATCCCTTGCCTGTGGACACAATCTGTGAAAATGATGAAATGACTCAATGATTATGCTCCATGAGTGTGTTAATTAATGTTCCATTATATGGCAAGAGAGATTTTACAGATGTAAGGAAGATCCTAAATTAGTGGATTTTAAAGTAGAGAGATGATCCTGAGTGGGTAGGATCTGACCAGGTGAGCCCTTTAAAGTAGAGCATTTTCTCTGGCTGGGCTCGGGAGGAGAAGTCAGAGATCTGAAGCATGAGAAGAATTCACCGTGCCATTGGGGGAAGCTACAGGGCAAAGAATGCCAATGCCATCTAGGTGCTGAGGGAGGCCCCCAGCTGACAGTCAGCAAAAAACCAGAGACCTTGGTTCTACAACCACTAGGAACCAAACTCTGCCCATGAGAGGAAGGAGCTTGGGAAAGGATTTTGCCCCAGAGCCTCCAAGTGGGAACAAAGCCCGGCCAACACCATGATTTCACCCTGAGCAGAGAAACCAGCCACACCAGGCCAGGCTTCTGACCAACAGACTGTGAGCTGATAAACAGGTGTTGATTTAAGCTGCTGAGTTTGTGGTCATTTGTCAGGTAGCAATAGAAAACGAATAAAATACCTGTGACCCAGCAACTCATTTTGGTGGGTTTATTCTGCAAAGGTACTTCGACATAAATGACAACGTATGTATGTGATGACTTATCACAGCATTGTTGTGATACTCCCAACCCCCCACCCAAACCCTAGAAGTGACTTAAATGTCCATCAGTAGGGGATTGGTCAATGAATTATTTCAACCTATACATAGATTATTATGCAGTGATATGAAAGAATGAGGAAGTCCTGTCTGCTGATACAGATCTCCAAGGTGTGACTAGCGAACAAGGTGCAGCCCAGGGGATATAGTTTGTTACCTTCTATGTAAAAAGGGCATTATGAACACATACCCATTTCTGTACTTGCATTAAGAAACTCTAAAAGAATGCCTGAGATACTAATGTGGTGACCTGTAGGGGAGGGGACAAGGAGTGAGAACAGGGCAAATGAGGCATAAAGGGTCAGGGGAAGACTTTCTCTAAGCTCGTTATGTATATATATTTGAACCATAAGAATGTATTTATTAATGAATGAAAAAAATAAAATAAAACTAGCTGCTCTAAGATGAATCAGTGAGCCCCTGTCCCCCCAGCTTCTTTCTGGGCCTGAACCCACGCCCTTTACTTGCCCCCATAAGTATATTCTGGGGCTTGTCCTCCATGGAACCCTTGACCTCTGGCAGTCCCTTCTCATTGTCCCTGCTGCCCTAGGGGAACTAAAGATAAGAATTCCAGTAGCTGTGTCTAAGCGAGTCATCTCTCTGGGACTCAGTTTTCACATCTGTGAAATGGGAATGATAGCTCCAAGGTCAGTTAAGGGGTTAAATGAGATCGTTCACATCAAGTGCTAGTCTGGGAGCAGATGCACAGGCTCGCTAGGATGCATGAAAGACCACTCCAAGCAAAGGGAGTTTTTCAAGCACGTTAAATGGACAAGAAAGGATAGTTCCCCCATTTGCCACCCACACACAGGGACTGTGGCCTGATTCCTCCCTTCTTCTATGCAAATGCTGCACAGGATTCAGCTGAATGAGCTCTCCCTTTTGTATGAGTTCAGAGCCCTCAGTGACCATGGCAGGCTCCCTCTCATTTCACATATGGGTTGGTGAGGCCCAGCTGGATCGGCAACTTGTTCAAGGTCACAACGGCACATCAGAGGCAGAGCCAGGACCAGTACCAAAGGCCCCTGACTCCCACCCAGGCCCTTGGCCTGCACATCTCCCCCTGCCCAGGCACATCTGTGGCCAAGCAGCCATGTGGTAACGTGGGGAGACACTGCACTGGGTGTCCCCTAATCTTCCCGGCCTCCGGTTGATGCCACAGAAGGGCTTCTGCCCGCCAGCCTTGAGTTCAGAGAATGCAGCCTCCCTGCAGGCCCTGAGCCCTCCCAGGCATCTCCCCCAGCACCTTCTCCTGCTGGCAGGAGGCACAGAGGGACAGGCAGGTATCACAGGTGGCCCCTGGGGATGGGGCGGAGCCCATGGGGAGAGAGGGGCTTCCTAAGAATCGGGGCATCTGTGGCCACAGAAGTGAGCTGCCTGTGACAGCCTCCAATTCTTCATCGGAGGCTCCCAAGGGTCTCCCTCATCTCGCCTGATGCCTGTGGAGCTCACTGAGTGACATTCCAGGTTCACAGGGGCAAGCTGCACTCCTTGCCCCTGAGCTTCCTGAGATTTCTCAGGATCCTGGAGCAAGATAGCTCCTCTCTTGTCTCATTAGTGTGCGGTTGGGTCCTGATATTTGAACCTTGAGTGTTCCTTTTAGCAGATATGGTTGTGTTTCCAATAGGAAAATATGTCCTAGTCTGCATGTTGTGGTGTGGACTGACTTGCGTGACCCTCTGCCTGTACGTGACTGCTCCATCCCGGGAGACACAGTTTGTTACTGTCCGGGCTGCGCGCAGAGAATAGAGAGACCCCTTGTGTTTGCAAGTGCACATTTACAGTTCCCAGACCAGTTCTAATCCTGTCTGACTGATTTAATCTGGTTTTAGGACAGGTTGGCCAGAGAGGTTTAAGTGCATTTACATCAATGTTAGCTATTTTTAAACTGTTTTATGTCAGTTTAAGCACATTTGTGTCTGCCTGGCTCGTCTGAGCTCCTGTGCAACTGTTTTGATTTGGGTTCGTTTCTTAGCAGACACCTGCACTTGTCATATGTCAGCACTGGTGATTCCAAGTGCTTTAAATATATTAAGTCATGTAGTCCTCACAACTACCCCACAGGTAGGGACTGTTATAAGTGGCCTCATTTCACACCTGGAGAAACTGAGGCACAGAGAGCTTAAGAAATTGGCCCCAGGTTTCGTGGTGACTGAGATGTGGAACTAGGACTTGAATCTGTTCCTTCTGGCACCTGGGGCTGTGCTCAGAACCTCTCGGTATTACACTCTATCACTGCAGAAACGTATTTTAAATCACTTCGGGATGAGCCAATTTTTTTCTGTCAGTTTCTTCTGCTTTTGCCAATGTGAACAGCTATGTTCTGGCTCGATCTGCACATAGCCTTGAATTTGGAGCATTCCAAGTGACACACAGGTATTAGGCCTCATAGATCCTTGAAGTAGAAGACCCCTGTATTAATGTCCTTGGACTGTTGTAAGTAACTGCCACAAACTGAGCTGTCTGAAACAACAGAAATTTATTTTCTCACACTTCTGGGGGCCAGAAGTTCAAAATCAAGGTGGTCATTGTCCGTCTGAAGGTCCTAGGGGAGAATCCTTCCTGCCTCCTCCAGTTTCTGGTGGCTCTAGGTGAACTGCGGCTTGTGGCCACATCGTTCCAACCTCCACATCCATGGCCACATCGCTACCTCCTTTTCTGTCTGTGTCCCCCTTGTGTCTCTTAGACCCTTGCTAGTGGATTTAGGGCCCACCCAGAGATCCAGGAAGATCTCATCTGAAGATCCTTAACTTAATTACATCTGCAGGGACTGTTTTTCCAAATGAGGTCACATTCACTGGTTCCAGGGATTAGGACACGGATTTACCTTTTTTAGGGGCCTCCATGCACCCATTATAACCACTAAGGTCAC